GTGTAAATGATCCCAGTGTGTGTCAATGCCCCCAGGTGTGTGTAAATGATTCCAGGTGTGTGTAAATGATCCCAGGTGTGTGTAATGATCCCAGGTGTGTGTAAATGATTCCAGGTGTGTGTAAATGCCCCAGGTGTGTGTAAATGCCCCCAGGTGTGTGTAAATGATCCCAGGTGTGTGTAAATGCCCCAGGTGTGTGTAAATGATCCCAGGTGTGTGTAAATGATCCCAGGTGTGTGTAAATGATTCCAGGTGTGTGTAAATGATCCCAGGTGTGTGTAAATGATCCCAGGTGTGTGTAAATGATTCCAGGTGTGTGTAAATGATCCCAGGTGTGTGTAAATGCCCCCAGGTGTGTGTAAATGATCCCAGTTGTGTCAATGCCCCCAGGTGTGTGTAAATGATTCCAGGTGTGTGTAAATGATCCCAGGTGTGTGTCAATGATCCCAGGTGTGTGTAAATGATTCCAGGTTGTGTAAATTATTCCAGGTGTGTCCCAGGTGTGTGTAAATGATCCCAGGTGTGTGTAAATGATCCCAGGTGTGTGTAAATGATCCCAGGTGTGTGTAAATGCCCCAGGTGTGTAAGTGCCCCAGGTGTGTGTAAATGATCCCAGGTGTGTGTAAATGATCCCAGGTGTGTGTAAATGATTCCAGGTGTGTGTAAATGATCCCAGGTGTGTGTAAATGATCCCAGGTGTGTGTAAATGATCCCAGGTGTGTGTAAATGATCCCAGGTGTGTGTCAATGATTCCAGGTGTGTGTAAATGATTCCAGGTGTGTGTAAATGATTCCAGGTGTGTCCCAGGTGTGTGTAAATGATCCCAGGTGTGTGTAAATGATTCCAGGTGTGTGTCAATGATTCCAGGTGTGTGTAAATGCCCCCAGGTGTGTGTAAATGATCCCAGGTGTGTGTAAATGATCCCAGGTGTGTGTAAATGATCCCAGGTGTGTGTAAATGCCCCCAGGTGTGTGTAAATGATCCCAGGTGTGTGTAAATGATCCCAGGTGTGTGTAAATGATCCCAGGTGCGTCCCAGGTGTGTGTAAATGATCCCAGGTGTGTGTAGATGACCCCAGGTGTGTGTAAATGATTCCAGGTGTGTGTAAATGCCCCCAGGTGTGTGTAAATGCCCCCAGGTGTGTGTAAATGATCCCAGGTGTGTGTAAATGCCCCCAGGTGTGTGTAAATGATCCCAGGTGTGTGTAAATGCCCCCAGGTGTGTGTAAATGATCCCAGGTGTGTGTAAATGATCCCAGGTGTGTGTAAATGCCCCCAGGTGTGTGTAAATGATCCCAGGTGTGTGTAAATGATCCCAGGTGTGTGTAAATGATCCCAGGTGTGTGTAAATGCCCCCAGGTGTGTGTAAATGATCCCAGTTGTGTCAATGCCCCCCCCAGGTGTGTGTAAATGATCCCAGGTGTGTGTAAATGATCCCAGGTGTGTGTCAATGATCCCAGGTGTGTGTAAATGATTCCAGGTGTGTGTAAATTATTCCAGGTGTGTCCCAGGTGTGTGTAAATGATCCCAGGTGTGTGTAAATGATCCCAGGTGTGTGTAAATGATCCCAGGTGTGTGTAAATGCCCCCAGGTGTGTGTAAATGCCCCCAGGTGTGTGTAAATGATCCCAGGTGTGTGTAAATGATCCCAGGTGTGTGTAAATGATTCCAGGTGTGTGTAAATGATCCCAGGTGTGTGTAAATGATCCCAGGTGTGTGTAAATGATCCCAGGTGTGTGTAAATGATCCCAGGTGTGTGTCAATGATTCCAGGTGTGTGTAAATGATTCCAGGTGTGTGTAAATGATTCCAGGTGTGTCCCAGGTGTGTGTAAATGATCCCAGGTGTGTGTAAATGATTCCAGGTGTGTGTCAATGATTCCAGGTGTGTGTAAATGCCCCCAGGTGTGTGTAAATGATCCCAGGTGTGTGTAAATGATCCCAGGTGTGTGTAAATGATCCCAGGTGCGTCCCAGGTGTGTGTAAATGATCCCAGGTGTGTGTAAATGATCCCAGGTGTGTGTAAATGATCCCAGGTGTGTGTAAATGACCCCAGGTGTGTGTAAATGACCCCAGGTGTGTGTAAATGATCCCAGGTGTGTGTAAATGATCCCAGGTGTGTGTAAATGATCCCAGGTGTGTGTAGATGCCCCCAGGTGTGTGTAAATGATCCCAGGTGTGTGTAAATGATCCCAGGTGTGTGTAAATGCCCCCAGGTGTGTGTAAATGATTCGAGGTGTGTCCCAGGTGTGTGTAAATGCCCCCAGGTGTGTGTAAATGATCCCAGGTGTGTGTAAATGATCCCAGGTGTGTGTAAATGATTCCAGGTGTGTGTAAATGATTCCAGGTGTGTGTAAATGATTCCAGGTGTGTCCCAGGTGTGTGTAAATGCCCCCAGGTGTGTGTCAATGCCCCCAGGTGTGTGTAAATGATCCCAGGTGTGTGTCAATGATTCCAGGTGTGTGTAAATGATCCCAGGTGTGTGTAAATGATCCCAGGTGTGTGTAAATGATTCCAGGTGTGTGTAAATGATCCCAGGTGTGTGTAAATGATTCCCCCCCAGGTGTGTCAATGCCCCCCAAACTCACGCCGTGCCCCCAGGTGAGCCCCCAGGTGATGGATCCTCCTCAGGAGCCTCCCCAGGTGCTCCCCCAGCTGAGCCACGGCCTGGGGGGCGAAGGCCAAGCGGGGAGGGGGGGGAGGGGCGTCCTCGGGACCCCCCCCTGCCCAGGGCTCTGCAATTAAGGGGGAATTAATTAGGGGGGTTAATTAGAAGAAGGGTTGTTAAAATATTAAAATGGTGTTTGTTAATTAGCAGCCCCGGAATGTCCCCAAAATTCCTCAGAAATCCCCCTTAAACTCCAAATTTCCCCCTAAATCCCCCCAAAATCCCCCCTCAAATCCCCCAAATCCCCTCAAACCCCCAAATCCCCTCAACACCCCAAACCCACCCAAATTTTCCCAATCCCTCTCAAACTCCCCCAAATCCTCTCAAACCCCCAAAATCCCCTTAATTTTCCCAAATCCCTCCAAACCCCCTCAAACCCCCTCAACCACCCCAAATCCCCCAAATCCCCTCAAACCCCCAAATCCCCTCAACACCCCAAAGCCCACCCAAAATTTTCCCAATCCCTCTCAAACTCCCCAAATCCCTCTCAAACCCCCAAAATCCCCTTAATTTTCCCAAATCCCCTCAAACCCCCTCAACCACCCCAAATCCCCCAAATCCCCTCCCCATCCTCAACTTCCCCCAAACCCCCCAAATCCCCCAAATCCCCTCAAGCCCCCAATCCCCCAAATCCACCTCAAACCTCCCCCAAATCTCCCCCAAATCCCCTCCCCATCCTCCAACTCCCCAAAACCCCCAATCCCCCCAAATCCCTCCCCACTCACCCCTACGCTCTCCTCCTCTCCATCCCGGGTGGGGAGGGGCGGTGAGGAGGGAGCAGTGAGGGGTTGGGTGGCCCCTCCCCGCCGGGAGGGCTCAGAGGGTCCCCGAGGGGTCCCGGGGGCCCCTCCCCCTCCCCTCCCTGCAGCGTCGAAGCAGGGCCTGAACCTCACGTCCAGCTGGGGGGAGAGAGACAAAAAGGGGGTCAGGGGTCTCAAAAACCCCCAAATTTCCTCACAACCCCCCTCAAATTCATCCCCAAAATCCCCCGAAATTCCAGCACAAAATCACCACAAATTTCCTCAAAATTCCCCCTCAAAACCTCCCAAATTCCAGCCCAAAATACGCCCCAAATTTCCTCAGAAAACCTCCCCAAAACCCCCAAATTCCTCCCCAAAATCCCTCCCCAAATTCGTCCCCCAAACCCCCCAAATTTCCTCAAAGAAACCTCCCAAACCCCCCAAATTCCATCCCAAACCCCCAAAATTCCTCCCCAAATCCCCAAATTTTCCCCCAAATCCCCAAAAAATCCCCAAATTCTCACCCCAAACTCCCCAAATTTCCTCTAAAACACCCCAAATTTCCTCCCAACCCCCTAAAATTCCTCCCCAAATTCCCCCAAATTTCCTCCAGCCCCCTCAAATTCACCCCAAAATCCCCACAATTTCCAGCCCAAAATCACCACAAATTTCCTCAAAAATCGCCTCAAAACCTCCAAATTCTCCCCAAAATCCCCCAAATTTTCACCAGCCCCTAAATTTCCTCAAAAAACACCCCAAATTTCCACTCCAACCCCCCCAAAATTTCCTCCCAAGACACCCCAAAACCTCCCAAAATTCCTCATAAAGCACCCCAGTTTCCTCCCCAAAATCCCCCCAAATTTTCACCCCAAAACCCCCAAAATCCCCCAAATTTCCTCAAAAAACACCCCAAAACCCTCCAAAATCCCCCAAGTTTCTTCCCAAAATCCCCCAAATTTCCACCCCAAAACCCCCAAATTTCCTCAAAAACACCCCAAAACACTCCCAAAATCCCCAAGTTTCCTCCCCAAAATCCCCCAAATTTCCAGTCAAAATCCCCCAAATTTCCTCAAAAAACCCCCAAAAGCTCCCAAATTTTATCCCAACCCCCTCAAATTTCTCCCCAAAATCCCCCAAAATTTCATCAAAAAACCTCCCCAAAAATCCCCCAAATTCCATCCCAACCCCCAAATTCCTCCCCAAAATCCCCCAAATTTTCACCCAAACCCCCAAAAATCCTCATAAAACCCCCAATTTTCCTCCCAAGCCCCCCAAATCTCTCAAATTTCCTCCCCAAAACCCCCAAAATCGCCCCAAAAATCTTCATAAAACCCCCTAAATTTCCTCCCTCAAAATCTTCCAAATTTCCTCCCCAAACCACCCCCAAAAAACAACCCCAAAAGGGACCCCAAAAATCTGAGGGGTTGGGGGTCCCCAAATTCCCCCAAATTCCCTCAAAAATCTCCCCCAAAACTCCTCCCAAAAAGACCCCAACCCCCCCCCAAATTCCCTCAAAAATCTCCCCCAAACAACCCCCAAAAAGGCCCCAAAAATCTGGGGGTTGGGGGACCCCAAACCCCCCCAAATTCTCCCAAATTCCCTCAAAAATCTCCTCCAAAACGATCCCCAAAAAGGCCCCAAAAACGTGGGGGGTTGGGGGACCCCAAAACCCCCTGAAACACCCCCAAAAAAAACCCATTTTTGGTGTCCCCAGGTGTGTGTTTGGTGCCCCCAGGTGTGTGTTTGGTGCCCCCAGGTGTGCCCAGGTGTGTGTTTGGTGTGCCCAGGTGTGTGTTTGGTGTGCCCAGGTGTGTCCTAGGTATCTCAGGTGCCCCCAGGTGTGTGTGTGATGCCCCAGGTGTGTGTTTGGTGCCCCCAGGTGTGTGTTTGGTGCCCCCAGGTGTGTGTTTGATGTCTCTCACCTGTGCCCAGTACCTGTTGACCAGGTGCAGGGTGGCATGGTTGGTCCCCAGGTGTGTGTTGGGTGCCCCCAGGTGTGTGTGTGATGCCCCCAGGTGTGTGTTTGGTGTCCCCAGGTGTGTGTTTGGTGTCCCCAGGTGTGCCCAGGTGTGTGTTTGATGTCCCCAGGTGTATCTCAGGTGCCCCCAGGTGTGTGTTTGGTGTCCCCAGGTGTGTGTTTGGTGCCCCCAGGTGCCCCCAGGTTTGTGTTTGGTGCCCCCAGGTGTGTGTTTGGTGCCCCCAGGTGTGTGTTTGGTGCCCCAGGTGTCCCCAGGTGTGTGTTTGGTGTCCCCAGGTGTGTGTTTGATGTCCCCAGGTGCCCCCAGGTGTGCCCAGGTGTGTGTTTGGTGCCCCCAGGTGTGTGTTTGGTGCCCCCAGGTGTGTGTTTGGTGCCCCCAGGTGCCCCCAGGTTTGTGTTTGGTGCCCCCAGGTGTGTGTTTGATGCCCCCAGGTGTGTGTTTGATGCCCCCAGGTGTGTGTTTGATGTCCCCAGGTGTGTGTTTGGTGCCCCCAGGTGTGTGTTTGATGCCCTCAGGTGTGTTTGGTGTCTCACCTGTGCCCAGTACCTGTTGACCAGGTGCAGGGTGGCATGGTTGGTCCCCAGGTGTATCTCAGGTGCCCCCAGGTGTGTGTTTGATGTCTCTCACCTGTGCCCAGTACCTGTTGACCAGGTGCAGGGTGGCATGGTTGGTCCCCAGGTGTGTTTCTCAGGTCTCTCACCTGTGCCCAGTACCTGTTGACCAGGTGCAGGGTGGCATCGTCCGTGGCCTGGGGTGTGTTTGATGCCCCCAGGTGTGTTTCCCAGGTGTCTCACCTGTGCCCAGTACCTGTTGACCAGGTGCAGGGTGGCACGGTTGGTCCCCAGGTGTGTTTTTCAGGTGTCTCACCTCTGCCCAGTACCTGTTGACCAGGTGCAGGGTGGCATGGTTGGTCCCCAGGTGTGTGTTTGGTGTCCCCAGGTGTGTGTTTGATGCCCCCAGGTGTGTGTTTGGTGCCCCCAGGTGTGTGTTTGGTGTGTGTTTGGCATCTCCAGGTGTGTCCCAGGTATCTCAGGTGTATCTCAGGTGCCCCCAGGTGTGTGTTTGGTGTCTCACCTGTGCCCAGTACCTGTTGACCAGGTGCAGGGTGGCATGGTTGGTCCCCAGGTGTATCTCAGGTGTCTCACCTGTGCCCAGTACCTGTTGACCAGGTGCAGGGTGGCATGGTTGGTCCCCAGGTGTGTGTTTGATGCCCCCAGGTGGGTCCCAGGTATCTCAGGTGTATCTCAGGTGCCCCCAGGTGTGTGTTTGGTGCCCCCAGGTGTGTGTTTGATGTCTCTCACCTGTGCCCAGTACCTGTTGACCAGGTGCAGGGTGGCATGGTTGGTCCCCAGGTGTGTTTCTCAGGTGTCTCACCTGTGCCCAGTACCTGTTGACCAGGTGCAGGGTGGCATCGTCGGTCGCCTGGCGCTTCTCGAGCTTCTCGATGCGCTCTCGGAGCTCGTCCTCGCACACCTGGCGCTGCTCCAGCCGCTCCAGCAGCTTCTTGTTGCGGAACTGCAGCACCTTCACGTCCATCTCCTCCTGCACAGGTGACACCACCCAACAGGTGAGACCCCAGGGATGTTTTAACCCCCCCCAGGGACATTTTAAACCCCCCCAGGTGTGGATTTTCCCCCCCAGGTGCCCCCCAGGTCCATTTTTAACCCCCCAGGTGTGAATTATTCACCCGCCAGGTGTGTTTTTAACCCCCCAGGTGTGGATTTTCCCCCCAGGTGTGTTTTTAACCCCCCAGGTGTGTTTTTAACCCCCAGGTCCATTTTCCCCCAGGTGTGAATTTTCCCCCCAGGTGTGTGTTTAACCCCCAGGTGTATTTTTAGCCCCCCAGGTGTGTTTTAACCCCCCCAGGTGAGCACTGACCGTGGAGGAGATGCCCCCCAGGTCCATTTTAACCCCCCCAGGTGTGTTTTTAACCCCCAGGTGTGGATTTTCCCCCCAGGTGTGGATTTTCCCCCATGTCCATTTAGCCCCCAGGTGTGTTTTAACCCCCAGGTGTGTTTTTCCCCCAGATGTGTTTCCCCCAGGTCCATTTTCCCTCCCAGGTGCATTTAACCCCCCAGATGTGTTTTTTCCCCCCCCAGGTCCATTTTCCCCTCCCAGGTCCATTTTAACCCCCCCAGATGTGTTTTTTCCCCCCCCAGGTCCATTTACCCCCAGGTGTGGATTTTTCCCCCAGGTCCATTTAACCCCCAGGTGTGTTTTCCCCCAGATGTGTTTTTCCCCCAGGGTGTGGATTTCTCCCCCAGGTCCATTTTAACCCCCCAGGTGTGGTTTCCCCCAGGTGCATTTTAACCTCCCCAGGTCAATTTTAAACCCTCCAGGTGCCCCCAAGGTACATTTTTAGCCCCCACAGGTGAGTTTTGCGCCCCCAGGTGAGCACTGGCCGTGGAGGAGATGCCCCCAGGTCCAGTTTAGCCCCAGGTGTGAATTATTCACCCCCAGGTCCGTTTAAGCCCCCAGGTGTGGATTTTCCCCCAGGTGTGTTTTTAACACCCCCAAATGTGTTCCCAGGTCTGTCTCAGCCCCCAGGTGTAAATTATTCACCACCCAGGTGTGGATTTTTCCCTTTCAGGTGTGTTTAACCCCCAGGTGTGTTTTAAACCCCCATGTCCATTTAACCCCCCACAGGTGTGGATTTTCCCCCCAGGTCCATTTAACCCCCAGGTGTGTTTTTAGCCCCCAGGTGTGTTTCCCCCCAGGTGCATTTTAGCCCCCAGGTGAGCACTGACCATGGAGAGATGCCCCCATGTCCATTTAACCCCCAGGTGTGGATTTTCCCCCCAGGTCCATTTAACCCCCAGGTGTGGATTTCCCCCAGGTGTGTTTCCCCCCAGGTATGTTTTACCCCCGGTCCATTCTAATCCCCCAGGTGTGGATTTTCCCCCTCAGGTCCATTTTACCCCCAGGTGTGTTTTAACCCCCAGGTTGATTTTAACCCCCTAGGTGTGGATTTTTCCCCCAGGTGTGTTTTTCGCCCCCAGGTGTGGATTTTTCCCCCAGGTCCATTTTCCCCCAGGTGAGCACTGACCGTGGAGGAGATGCCCCAGGTCCATTTTAACCCCCCAGGTGTGTTTTAACCCCCCAGGTATGTTTTTCACCCCCAGGTATATTTTTCCCCCAGGTGTATTTTTAGCCCCCAGGTGAGTTTTCCCCCCAGGTGAGCACTGACCGTGGAGGAGATGCCCCCAGGTGTATTTTAACCCCCAGGTGTGTTTTCACCCCCAGGTGTGGATTTTTCCCCCAGGTGAGCACTGACCGTGGAGGAGATGCCCCCAGTCCATTTAACCCCCTAGGTGCCCCCAGGTCTGTTTTTAGCCCCCAGGTGTGGATTTTTCCCCCAGGTCCATTTTCCCCCAGGTGCCCCCAGGTGTGTTTTTAGCCCCCAGGTGTGTTTTACCCCCAGGTGAGCACTGACCGTGGAGGAGATGCCCCCAGGTCCATTTAACCCCCAGGTGTGGATTTTCCCCTCCCAGGTCCATTTTACCCCCAGGTGTGTTTTCCCCCCAGGTGTGGATTTTCCCCCCAGGTGTGTTTTAACCCCCAGGTGTGTTTTCCCCCAGGTGTATTTTACCCCCCAGGTGCATTTTAGCCCCCAGGTGAGCACTGACCGTGGAGGAGATGCCCCCCAGGCGCAGGGGCTCGATCAGGGTGGTCGGGGGCTGCTCCTCACGGGGGGGTTTCTTCTCGGGGGGGCCCCCCGCCCTCGGGGACCCGCTTGGCCCCCGCCCCCGACATGGGGTGGTCCTGGGGGGAGAAGAGGGGTGTGAGGGGATTTGGGGGGTTTGAGAGATTTGGGAGGTTTAGGGGATTGTGGGGGGTTGAGGAGGATTTGGGGGAGTTGAGGAGATTTGGGAGGTCTATGTGGGATTTTGGGGGATTTAGAGGAGGGTTTGGGAGGGGTTTAGAGGGGATTTGGGGGTTTGGGAGGGATTTGGGAGGAGTTTAGAGGATTTGGGGGAGTTGAAGGGGATTTGGGGGGTTTGGGAGGGATTTGGGGGAGGGTAGGGGGATTTGAGGGGGTTTGGGAGGGTTGGGGGGGTTTGAGAGGGATTTGGGGGGGTTTGGGAGGGTTTGGGGGAGTTGGGGGATTTGGGAGGATTTGGGGGGTTTGGGGGGTTGAGGGATTTGAGAGGATTTGGGGGGATTTGGGAGGGATTTGGGAGGGATTTGGGGGGGTTGATTTGGGGGTTAGGGGGTTGAGGAGGATTTGGGGGGTTGGGGGAGGATTTGGGAGGGATTGAGGGGGATTTGGGGGTTGGGGGATTTGGGGGAGTCTGAGGGGATTTGGGGGTCCTATGGGGAGCTTGAGGGGATTTGGGGGTTTGAGGGGTTTTGGGGGGAGTTTGAAGGGGATTTGGGGGGTTTGGAGGGAGATTTGGGGGATTTGGGGGTTATGGGGGGAGTTGGAGGGGATTTGGGGGGCTTTGAGGGGAATTGGGGGGGATTTGGAGGGGTTTGGGGGGATTTGGGTGGTTTGAGGGGATATGGGGAGAACTTGGGGGCTTTGAGGGGATTTGGGGGGGATTTGGAGGGGTTGGGAGGGATTGGGGGATCTGGGAGGTATTTGAGGGGGTTATTGTGGTCTTGGGGGGATTTGGGGGGGCTATGGGGTATTTGTGGACACCTGGGGGATTTCGGGGGTCTATGTGGGATTTGGGGGATTGGGGGATTTGAGGGCGTTTAGGGGGTTTTGGGGGGATTTAGGGGGATTTGAGGTGGATTTGGAGGGATTTGAGGGAAATTTTGGGGGTTTATGGGGGTTTGAGGGGTCCATGTGGCATTTGGGGGAGATTTGAGGGAATTTGGGGGGTCTGTGTGAGATTTCGGGAGTCTTGGGGGATTTGGGGGTCTATGTGGGATTTGGGGGAGATTTGAGGGGGATCTGGGGGTCTATGGGGGTTAAGGAGGATTTATTGTGGATTTGGGGGAGTCTTGGGGGGACTGGGGGATTTGGGGAAATTTAGTTGGGGTGGGGTGAATTTTAAGGGATCTATGAAAGGGTTTGGGGGGGTTATTGTGGATTTTTGGGATTTAGGGGGATTTTGGGGGAGTTTGGGTAGGATTTTGGGGGGGGTTGGAAGGGATTTTGGGAAGGTTGGGGGGGTTTATTGTGGATTTGGGGGGGTCTGGGGGGGATTTGGGGGTGGTCTGAGGAGCCCTGAGGGGTTTTGGGGGTTCCCAAAAAGAATTTCAGGGTTTTTTTGGAGAGTTTTGAGGGGTCCTGAGGGGATCTTGGGGGGTTTTTTGTGGTGTTTTGTGCTCAACGGAGTCCTGAGGGGCCAAAATGGTGGCCTGAGGGGCCCTGAGAGTTTTGGGGGGTTCCAGGAAGAATTTTGGGGTTTTTTTGAAGGGTTTTGTGGGGTTTTTGGGGGTATTTTGGGCTGTTTTATGCTCAACAAAGCCCCGAGGAGCCAAAATGGCGGCTTGAGGGGCCCTGAGGGGTTTTGGGGAGTCCCAATAAGAATTTTGGGGACTTTTGGAGAGTTTTTGGGGTATTTTGGAGGGTTTTGGGGGTATTTTGGGGTGTTTTGTGCTCAACGGAGCCCTGAGGGGCCAAAATGGTGGCCTGAGGGGCCCTGAGGGGTCTGAGGAGTTTGGGGAGTCCCGAGAGGATTTCTGAGGGGTTTTAGAGGGTCCCGTGTGGGTTTTGGGGGTATTTTGGGGTGTTTTGTGCTCAACGGAGCCCTGAGGTACCAAAATGACAGCCTGAGGGGCCCTGAGGGGTTTTGGGGTTCCCAAGAAGAATTCTGGGGGTTTTTGGAGAGTTCTTGGGGTATTCTGAGGGATTTTAGGGTGTTTTGTGCTCAACGGAGCCCTGAGGGGCCAAAATGGCAGCCTGAGGGGTCCTGAGGGATTTTCGGGGAGTCTCAAAAAGGACTTGGGATTTTTTTGGAAGATCTTACGGAGTCCAAAGTGGCTTTTGGGGGTATTCTGAGGCGTTTCGGGCTCGACGGAGCCCTGAGGGGCCAAAATGGTGGCCTGAGGGGCCCTGAGGGGTTTTGGGGTTCCCAAGAAGAATTTGGGGGGTTTTTGGAGAGATTTGAGGAGTCCTGAGAGGGTTTTAAGGTTTTTTGGAAGCATTTTTTGCTCTACGAAGCCCTGAGGGACCAAAATGGTGGCCTGAGGGGCCCTGAGGGATTTTGGGGTGTCCCAAAAAGAATTTCGGGATTTTTTTGGAAGATCTTACTGAGTCCAAAGTCGCTTTTGTGGGTATTTTGAGGCGTTTCGGGCACAACGGAGCCCTGAGGGGCCAAAATGGCGGCCTGAGGGAGCCGCGAGAGGGGAAGGCGTTAACGGTCCCTCAGCGGGACCCGGGAGGCTCCGAGACGCCCCTCGGCCTTTCCGAGGCGGTTTCTGAGGGATTTTAGGGTGATTTGAGCCGATTTCGGGTCGTTTGGGTGGGTTTTTAAGGGTTTTTTTGGGCTATTCCCGTCCCGCCCCCCCGCTCTTACCGGAGTCGCCGTAGCCGTTAGCGCCCCCTCGCGGCGGGCCACGCCCCCGCGGCATCTGATTGGCTGATCCCCTTTAGCCACGCCCCCTTTCTTCCCAAACCACCCGCGACATCTCATTGGCTGCTTTTCTTTAAGCCACGCCCATGGCGCGATCTGATTGGCCAATCCAGTCTGGCCACGCCCACATTGCCCCAGTAACGGCTCCGAATGGGCGGTTGGGCGGGGCCTCCGCGTCTTAAAGGGGCGACGCTCGGCTCTTAAAGCGGCGATGGCTCAAGTGGGGCCCGCAGTGGGGTATTTTGGGGGTCCCGGGGGGTTTTGGGGACCCCCCCGAGGGTTTTGGGGACCCCTGAGGAGCGTCGAGACCCCCCAAAGACCCCCCAAAACCCCAGGACCCCCCAAAACCCCTCCAGGACCCTCCGGGGACCTCCCAGGACCCCCAAATCCCCACAGAGACCCCCCCCAGGACCCCCCAAAACTCTTTGGGGACCCCCAAAAACCCCAAACACCCAGGACCCCCCAAAACCATTTGGGGACCCCCAAAGACCCCCAGGACCCCAAAAAGACCCCCCAGGACCTTCCAGGATCCCCCAGGACCCCTCAAGTGACCCCAAAAAGACCCCCAAGACCCCCCCAAGTGACCCCAAAAGACCCCCCAGGACCCCCCAAAAGACCCCCCAGGACCTTCCAGGATCCCCCAAGACGCCCCCAAGTGACCCCCAAGACCTTCCAGGACCCCCAAAAAGACCCCCCAGGACCCCAAAAAGACCCCCCAGGACCCCAAAAACCCTTCAGGACCCTCCAGACCCCCAAAAAGACCCCCAGGACCTCCCAAGTGACCCCAAAAGACCCTTCAGGACCCCAAAAGGACCCCCAAGACCCTCCAGGACCCCCAAAGACCCTTCAGGACCACCCAGGACCCCCAAAAAGACCCCCAGGACCTTCCAGGATCCCCCAGGACCCCCAAGTGACCCCAAAAGACCCCCAAGACCCCCAATTGACCCTCAAGACCTCCCAGGACCCCAAAAGACCCCAAGACCCCCCAAGACCCCTAAAAGACCCTTCAGGACCCCAAAAGACCCCCAGCACCCCCCAAAACCCTTCAGGACCCCCAAAAGACCCCCAAGACCCCCAAGTGACCCCAAAAGACCCTCCAGGACCCCAAAAGACCTCCCAGGACCCCCAAAAACCCTTCAGGACCTCCAGGACCCCCAAAAGACCCCCAAGACCCCCAATTGACCCCCAAGACCTTCCAGGACCCCAAAAGACCCCCAAGACCCCCAAGTGACCCCCAGACCCCCAGGACCCCCAAAGACCCCCGAGCCCCTCCAGGTGCCCCTGCCCCTCCCCACCCCTCCCCCTCCTCCCCTGCCCCTCCCCCTCCGGGTCCACCAGGGCCACTCGGGGCAACAGAAGCGTCACCTGAAAGGGGGAGGGGGTTTGAGGGGAGGGACTGAGGGGAGAGGATTGAGGGGATTTGAGGGGTGGGGAGGGGGTTGGGGGTGGGGAGGGATTTGGGAGATTTGGGGGATTTGGGAGTGGGGGAGGGGATTTGGGGGATTTGGGGGATTTGGGGTGGGGAGGGATTTGGGGGGATTTGAGGGGATTTGGGGGATTTGGGGGTAAGGAGGGGTTTGAGGGGATTTAGGGGATTTGTGGGGTCTGGGAGGAATTTGGGGGTGGGGGAGGGATTGAGGGGATTTGGGGGGATTTGGGGGATTTGGGGTGGGGAGGGGCCTGAGAAACGGTGGGAGGGGCTTGAGGGAATTTTTGGGGGATTTGGGGGATTTGTGGGGATTTGGGGGGCCTGGGAGGGATTTGGGGATTTGAGGGGATTTGGGGGATTTGGGGTAGTTTGGGGAATTTGGGGGTCTGGGAGGATTTGGGGAATTTGGGGGAATTTGGGGAATTTGGGGCGATTTGGGGGTGGGGGAGGGGCCTGAGAAGTGGTGGGAGGGGCTTGAGGGGAATTTTGGGGGGATTTGGAGGAATTTGGGGGTTCTAGGAGGGGATTTGAGGGGTGGGGGGAGGGCTTGAGGAGATCTGGGGTAATTTGGGGAAATTTGGGGATTTGGGGGATGTGGGGAATTTGGGGGTCTGGAAGGGATTTGTTGGGGATTTGGGGGATTTGGGGGAATTTGAGGTGGGGAGGGGCCTGAGAAGCGGTGGGAGGGCTTTGAGGGGTGGGGGAGGAGCTTGAGGGGGTGGGGAGGAGCTTGAGGGGTGGGGGAGGGGCTTTGGGGGTGTTTATTTAAGGGACCCCGAGGGCCGGGGTTGGGGAGGGGTTTGGGGTTGGGGTGGGAATTTTTGGGGAGGGATTTTACACTTTTTTTTTTTTAATTTTTATTTTATTTTATTTTATTTTTGGGGGAGGGGATTTGGGGGAGGGGCAAAAATGGAGGCTCCTGGTGCAGACCCCTGAGATTTGGGGTGATTGGGGGTATTTCCTGCTCGTCATCGCTGTGGGGCTCTGGGTAAGGACCCCTCCCCAAAATAACCCCCAAAAATCACCCCAAATTCCACCCTGGGACCCCCAAATATCCCCCAAATTCCACCCTGGGAACCCCCAACATTTCCCCTGGGATGCCCTAAATATCCCCTCAAATTCACCCCTGGGACCCCAAATTCCACCCGGAAAATTGACCCCAATTGACCCCAAATCCCCCCAAATTCCACCCTCTGGGACCCCCAAAAATCACTCCCTGGAACCCCCAAAAATTCCCCAAAATTTACCATCTGGACCCCAAAATCACCCCTCGGGACTCCCAAATTCCACCTGATAAATTGACCCCAATTGACCCCAACCCCCCCCAAAAATCACCCCAAAATCACCCCCAAATTCCAACCTGGGACCTCCAAACTCCCCTCAAATTCCACCCAGAGACCCCCACGGCACCCCCAAATTCCACCTAGAGAACCCCCAAATATCCCCCCAAATTTCTCTCCCAGGGAACCCCAAATTCACCCCCAAATCCCCCAAAATCACTCCCTGGGAAGTCCCAAATTCACCCGAAAATCACCCCTGGGACCCCAAATATCCCCAAATTCACCCCCAAAATCACCCCCTGGGGACCCCCAAATCATCCCCAAATTCACCCCAAATTCCCCACCCTGGGGACCCCCAAATATCCCCAAATTCTACTCCCCAAGACTCCCAAAAATCAACCCCAAACCCCCAAATTCCACCCTTTGGGACCCCAAAAGTCAACCCCAAGACCCCCAAAACCCCCAAATTCCACCCCAGGACACCCCAAAATCACCCCAAAACCCCCAAAACTCCCCAAATTCCACCCTCTGGAACCCCCAAAAATCCCCAAAATTTACACCCCGGGAACCCCAAATATCCCTCTACCCCACCAGGACCCTCCCAAAATCAACTAGACCCCCAAATATCCCTCCAAATTCCACCCCAGGACACCCCAAAATCAACCCTCAGGACCCCAAAACCCCCCCAAATTCTACCCTAGGGACCCCAAAATCACCCCCAAAACCCCCAAAATCCCCAAATTCCGCCCCGGAACCCAAAATTCACCCCCCAGAACCCCCAAAATCTACCCCCGGGACCCCCAAATATCCCCAAATTCCACCCAGGACCACCCAAATCCCAATCCCCCAGAACCTCAAAATCACCCCGGGACCCCCAAATACCCCAAGACCCCCAAGGTATCCACCCCAGGACACCCCAAAGATCCACCTAGACCCCAAATACCCCCAAATTCACCCCAGGATCCCCGGACTCAAAAAACCCCCCAAAAATCCCAGGACACCAAATTCCCTAGGACCCCCAAAATCACCCCAAAATACCCCCAAATTCCACCTGGGACCTCCAAACCCCCAAAATTCCACCAAGAGACCCCCACGGCACCCCCAAATTCCACCTAGAGAACCCCCAAATATCCCCCAAATTTCACTCCCAGGGAACCCCAAATTCACCCCCAAATCCCCCAAAATCCTCCCTGGAAGCCCCAAATTCTACAATCACCTAGGGACCCAAATATCCCCAAAATTCACCCCAAAATCACCCTGGAACCCCAAATATCCCCCAAAATCACTCCAAATTCACCCCAGGACCCCAAATATCCCCAAATTCCCCCAAGATCCCCCAAAATCCACCCCAAAACCCCCAAATCACTTTGGGACCCCAATCAACCCAAACCCCAAAATCCCCCAAATTCACCCCAGGACACCCCAAAATCACCCCAAGACCCCCCAAAACCCCCAAATTCCACCCTCTGGAACCCCAAAATCCCCCAAATTTACCCCAGGAACCCCCAAATACCCTCAAATTCCACCCAGGACCCCCAAAATCAACCCCAGGACCCCCAAATACCCTCAAATTCCACCCCAGGACACCCCAAAATCAACCCTCAGGACCCCCAAGACCCCCAAATTCTACCCTGGGAGACCCCCAAAATCACCCTAAACCCCCAAAATCCCCCAAATTCCACCCCAGGACACCCCAAAATCACCCCAAAACCCCCTAAAACCCCCAAATTCCACCCTAGAACCCCCAAATATCCCCCAAAATTTACACCCCGGGAACCCCCAAATCTCCCTCAAATTCCACCCCAGGACACCCCAAAAATCACCCCAAAACCCCCAAATCCCCCTCAAATTCCACCCTCTGAGACTCCCAAAAATCCCCCAAATTCCACCCTCAGGGACCCCCAAATCCCCCCAAATTCTACCCTCTGGAACCCCAAAATCATCCCCAAAACCCCCAAACACCCCCAAATTCCACCCTGGGATCCCCCAAAATCCCCCAAATTTACACCCCAGGAACCCCAAATATCCCTCAAATTCCACCCCAGGACCCCAAAATCACCCCAAAACCCCCTAAAATTTACTCCCTAGAAAGCTCAAAACTCCCCAGGATCCCCAAATTCCACCTCAGGACCCCCAAAATCAACTCCCAGAGACCCCCAAATATCCCTCAAATTCACCCCCAAGACCCCCAAATCCCCCAAATCCCCTCAAATCCCCCAAATCCCCCAGGATCCCCCAAATTGACCCCAAAATCCCCCAAACCTCTCCCCCAACTTTCACTCACCAGGA